CGCCTTTCGACGTAAAAATGGCTTGTTTTCTTGCTTGCAATCATCAACATACACTTTGAACAGCTCAGAGAAGGTGGTAAATATTGGTTCTAGGTAACTCTTCTTAGACGTAGAACGACAATAATGCGATGGTAATTTAGGTAGATCCTGTAAAAACTGTTTCGCTTTGTTGACTTTATTAACCTGTATTGTCGATTCTCGGGGTTTCCTTATGGCTGGTTCTTTTGGAATACCATCATCAACATTTTTCACCCATTCATACACAGTTTTATCTTGAAGATCGACATTACGACAAACCACAGTGCGTGCATCATTTTTCTTCAAATGATAGCGATAAGAATTCTTCTTTCTACTATCTTCTGCGCGTTTCTTTCTTTCAACCATCTTCACCTGATCCACCATATTTGCCACGAAAACTTTTTTCTGTTTCCAAGTTAGCTCACCCCAGAAACGATTCAAAATTGACAATCTATCTTCTTCGCTAAATTCTCCACACCTTTTGGATAGGGCACAAGCTTTAGAACATTTTCTATCCTTAAGTTTTCGTTCACGCTTAACTGCCGCTTGACAATATCTTCCGTCTTCAGAACGTTTTACACCCCGGTAAGATTTTCCTTTTATGCGAAGAATTTGGTTTACATTTCTATCCCATTGTAAAGGAATTCGTTTACCACGCCTTGATCGTTTAGATTTGCCATCAGTTAATCGTGGTGTGTTAGGTGAATCTGGGTTTGTGACCTGTACGTCGGCATTGGTTGGTGTGTTAGGCAAAGATATGTCATCGTCGTCATCATCTGGCAATGGTTCAACACCATCATCGGAACTGAAAACGAGTAGTCTTCGCTTTTTCTCTGGATGCCAGTTCGGGTCGTTATCGCTGTCGTCAAAGTCACTCTCGTACTCATTTCCGAAGTCATCGGAGTCGTAATTTGGTAATTTTGTAGGTGTAATCTGACGAACAGATGGTCCCTGAATCCTATACAAGTTTGAACCAGGTGAAGCGACTTTGGGTTTTGTTCCGAAAGTCGTTTTGAAAGGAGAGCATAAAGGGGATTCGGCTGTGGCGTTAATATGTTGAGCTGGACTCAAAGACTGAGTACAAGAACCATCAATCTTAGACCATCTGGACACGATACTTCTTGCAGGTGTTAGGTTATGATTTTCAGTAGAAACGGGACTGGTAGGAAGTCTTTTAGATAGATCATCGAAGCAAGTTGTTGGTGGGTTGACTCTTAAAAATTCAATACTTGGAGATGAATATTCGTTTTGTAACTTCTCTGGCACGTTATTGAAGAGCTGTGCTGAACTTGATGTGGTAGAAGATGATGGAATGATGCGATTTGTACATGCAGGGGCTCTAGATAAGGAACATGCTGAAGTAGACCTACTGGTCTCATCATTAGTCTTCAGTGCCATTTTGACAATCTTTTTGCCACGGGAGAAACCAGCCATACCGGGAACATATAATTTTATACCTGAAAGAGAGAAATCATTGAACTAATGCCAAAATTTAAAAGAAACGAGATGTCAAAATATCGTATATGATTCCCATCAAATTATTTCATTTCATTATATTAGCGAATCAAATTTTCGTATATCGCTGTCAGAAAGGCAATTTAATTTTAACAGACTGATTTGAATTGTCAACTTCAAGGAGAGGACCGACAATAAACCATGGCTCACATATAATTTATATCACTTGATACAAACGACTTTTCAGGGTGTCTACGGGTTGGTACTGCTTATTGGGCAGATGTGAATCACTAAACTAAAACAATAAAATGCCTATTATTCCTACATATCTTATAAAACATAACGGCATTGATACATTTAATATTTTCAATAATATTCTCACCTGTATTGTTTATTTTCTAGGCTCAACGCCGTCTCGACGTCGTCTATTTATCAGGTCACATCAAAATTACGATATACGAGATTTTAATTGGAAAAAATAATCAACCAATTATTTTACGAGATTATGTCACATGTCCTGAACGGAACTTCTAATTGGACTAGAAGTACGAAAATAAGATACATAGATGCGGCTCGGAGGGAAGATTTTCGACGTTCAGAAAAGTTATATACGAGATTTTGGCGATATACGAGATTTTGAAAGCGCATCGACGATATACTGAGAGATTTGAAGGGCAGTCTACTGTCTGTAAAATGATCAATAGTATTAGATTTAAGGAGAGATATGAAGGACAGTCTACTCTCTGATACAATGATCATTAGTATCAGATATAAGGAGAGATATTAAGGACATACCCTCCGATACAATACTTAATAAAAACTAGAATACTGGGAGATATGAAGGCCGGTCTACTCTCTGATACAATGATCATTAGTATCAGATATAAGGAGAGATATGAAGGACGTACCCTCCGATGCAATAATTAATAAAAACTAGAATACTGAGAGATACGAAGGCCGGTCTACTCTCTGATACAATGATCATTAGTATCAGATATAAGGAGAGATATCAAGGACGTACCCTCCGATGCAATAATTAATAAAAACTAGAATACTGAGAGATATGAAGGCCGGTCTACTCTCTGATACAATGATCATTAGTATCAGATATAAGGAGAGATATGAAGGATGTACCTTCCGATACAATAATTAATAAAAACTAGAATACTGAGAGATATGAAGGCCGGTCTACTCTCTGATACAATGATCATTAGTATCAGATATAAGGAGAGATATGAAGGACGTACCCTCCGATGCAATAATTAATAAAAACTAGAATACTGAGAGATATGAAGGACAGTCTACTCTCTGATACAATGATCATTAGTATCAGATATAAGGAGAGATATGAAGGACGTACCCTCCGATGCAATAATTAATAAAAACTAGAATACTGAGAGATATGAAGGCCGGTCTACTCTCTGATACAATAATTATTAGTATTAGATATAAGGAGAGATATGATAAAATGATTAATATTTTAACCACTTTTGTAATAACGACCAGTTTTGTAATAGCTCACCAATTTTGTAATAAAATCAACCGCTTTTGTAATACCTACCAGTTTTGTAATAACATGCGCCCATTTTTGTAATAAAATTAGGTCACCACTTTTGTAATAAGCTCGCCAGCTTTTGTAATATTATCAAGGGTCACCACTTTTGTAGTAAAGCTTCCCCAGTTTTGTAACAGCCAAGTTTATTACAAGTTGGTAACCGATAGTAGTTTATTCAAATCACCTCACCTCCAGAAAATATCTTTCACCTTGTACCATCCGAAACGACCTGGAATGATGACAAGCGTTAGCCAAGCGCGCCACCAA